CTTTTATTCTCAGTGAGTAAGACTCCATGTTCGTTTTTTATAGGTCCATCTGTTTTAGTTTTAGCTTTTGAACCTGTAACTTCTTGTACAATTTTCCAAAGTTGTCTTGTGTTTGTACTGTCTGACTTAATTAAGTTAGTGTAATATTTCTTTTTAGTAATATTAATTAAATTAGTTAGCCTATTTTTTAGTAAATTATATTGCTGTTTTAGATTATCATTTAGAGGATGTTTTGTTAAAATTTTGAATATACGATTTTTTTCATTTACAGTTTTTAATATGGGGTTTGTCATCCATGGCGCTATTTTGGTATTTTTTCTATAAACTTTTTTCTCCTCAGTGCATAGCCGACTAATATTTTGGATCGTGTTTATGAAAATTTTTGTTGCTATATTTGGATCTTCCTCGCGGTACACGGAGTCCCAAGAAAGACCTTCTAATTTTTTATAAATTTTATCATAGTTCAAATATTTTACTACCTTAGGAATTATTTATAATTTTATTATCGTTAATAATTATTTGTAATATTACGGTTGAATGATCTGTTATATTTGTTGGAACAATTAGAGGTAGAATCATCTCACTAGATTCGGAATTTTTGGTTTTGAAAAAGATATGATCAAGACAGAATCTACCTCTAGTTGCTTTATTTATAGTCGAAATGTATCCGTGTTCGTTTAGTGTGTTGAGATATTCTGTATTATTGTCATTGTTTTCCAGTAGGTTAATATTAATGTCCCCGACAAAAATGTTATAATCATTGTTTTCTGTTTGTTGTGCGTCGAAGTACGTTTGTAATGTTTTGGCAAAGGCTTTAATATCTGAGGATGGTGACCTGTAGCATGCAGTAATACAAATTATTTTTTTTTTCGGGAGTTCTAATTTGAGATTTTATAAATTTAACATTATCTATACATACAATTTTATAATCGAAATCGTAATCATTTTTAATATACATCACTGTGCCGTCGTTTTGGTTAAAGTGGCCTTGATTATAAATTATTGAATATCCCGGTATGTTGTACAGATGAGGATCATGTAGTTGCCATGTTTCTGTCAGTACTAAACAATCACAACTAATGTCCAAATCTTGTAGAAATACTTTGAATTCATCAAAGTTTCTATCAATGCTTCTTATATTATTATGTACAATTTTAAAATTAGCATTCCTATTATTTATATTTAAAACTTCCCTACATTCGTCAATAGTGTCAAGAGTGTAAGTTTCTGGCAAATTCACCTGAAAATCGCGAATGTAAGGGTCCATTTCTTTTTATTATAAATACATTAATTTATTTTGAACTATACTATAATATAACTAAAACCATATAAATAAACAAAAAATAGAAAAGAAAGTTATCTGTTTGAGTTTTTCCTCGATCGTAGATTTTTATCGGATACTTGGTTTTCTATGTTCTTTTCTTGAGTTGATTTTTCGTTCCTTTTGGCGACCTTTTCAATTAATTTTTCTTTGTTTGCAACTTTAATAGGTACAGAGGTATTACTTTTGGGAGTGTCCTTGGAAGTATTGGTATCCGGTAATTTATTTTCTTCGACTATTTGGTTTTGGTTTGAAGTTTGCGCAGCAGGTGTATCTTTACACGGAGTTCTAGGTATAGTGGGTGTTGCAGGTAATTTATTTTCTTCGACTATTTGGTTTTGGTTTGAAGTTTGCGCAGCAGGTGTATCATCACACGGAGTTCTAGGTATAGTGGGTGTTGCAGGGGCACTGTTTGATATGGCGGCATTAAGATATTTGTCAATAGAATTTGTTTCTTCCTGTATTTCTTCTCCGTTTTCTATTTCCATATTTCGCAATTGTTCTACACTGTAAGCTTCATTGTTAACAATAAGCTTACGTCCCTGAATCTTAGCAACACAATTACGAGATCTGGCACTACTTAAATGTTTTCGTAGAATTTTTTTCTCTGCTTTATCTTCGAAACACAAGTCTTGAACAATAGAAAGTTTCGTACCTCGCAGTTTGTTACAGTTTTTCAGGATCTCATTTTTTTTCAAGCAAGATACAAACTCCACCTTAACAGCTCTCTTGGGACCGGCATTAAAGAAGTATAGGTTATTTAGGTTATTTACTGTCACGTCTACTCCTAACACTTTTTTGAATAGCTCTAATACTTCCTTTATTAAATCTGAGTTTTCTGTTGTGTCCAATCCAAATATTAATATATTGTTTTTTCGCAATGCTCTATCAAGAAATATAGATCTCTTTTCTATCTGCAGATTTTTTTGTTCTAGTAGATTAACTCGTTTTAAACAGTGTTCAATTTTATTTAAGATTTTTTTGTTTTCTTCTGCTATTGATGTTCTTATTTGGCAGCACTCGATTTTTATGAAATTTAAAAGATCATTGTTTGAAATATCTTTATTTTTATCTATATTTGCGGCGTTCTCCATTATTATTCAATACATGTTGATTTAAATTGTTGTCGTAATTTAAATTATTTTATTTTCTTTTATTTAGGTAGGTATATTGGTAGTTTAGCCACTGCCAGTTTTTGTAATTTCAAATTTAAATTAATGATAGTCACTTTGTTTAGTACAAGATAAGATAATACACCATACTTTTTTTTTCAGATGTTTTTTTGATTGTTGTAATGCTCTACGGTGCACTTTAATCGTCAAAATACGAGAGACACAAAGGAATTTTTCAGTTCATCAATCTTATAGTTTGTTAGGGATTCTTCAAAGTTTCTCTCGGTATCAGTTTTATATTAAACCTTATTTTCTAAACTCACCGAATTACTGAAACAATGCAGAGTACTTAAAACCACGACACGATCATACACATTTTAATAAAAATAATGTAATGTATGTATATCTATTTTCTTGCATCGTAACGCTTTATTGTTAATTTTGTACACATTGTTAACGTTGTCACTGTTGTCTTCTGAACAGTCTGATTCAGTATTTTATGATTCGCTTAAATTGCTGTTTCGGTTTGATAGGTTCTCAATTCTCTGTAATCTATTGTGATTTCTGGATTTTATCTGATATGTGAAACGCGCCCTGTCCGATTTAACGCAACAGCTTCCATAGTGTCCTCTTATGTCACATTCTTCACACGTATGGTTCTTAACTGTACAATCATTGTGATCGTGTCTTTCACGCTTTCCACATCGTCGACATTGATTTTCTGTTATTTCACGTGTTGTTATATTCTTAGTTCTATTTGTATTGATATTTTCTCTTTTTGTTCTTTTTTGTATTCGTTTTAAGTTAATTTCTTTCCTGTCTCCTTCGGCTAATTCCCGAGATTGCGCTGTAGCGAAAATTTGGGCAAATGTTACCTCTTGTGCTTCCTCGCGTAAATCTGGCCATTTTTGTTTCAAATCAATCTGTAGCTGCTCGTAATTTAATCCCGTAGCAAATCGATCTCGTAATTGTCGTTCTAATAAATCACCTTCATAGCCACAGTCTTTGCTTAATTCTTTTAACTTGTTAGCGTAGTGCTCTATTGTCTGGTCCATTTTACGTGTGCAATTCCAAAAATACGTCAAGGCTTTAAATCGGGTTTTTTTTATTCGGTACAGGTTTAATAACTTGGCTTTGATGTCGTCAAATGTGGGGGTAAATGCTACTTTTAACTGGTGGAAAATCTCTGGTGTCAAACAAGTAATAAGTTAGTCTTTCTGTATGGTTTTACAATCATCGCCCCATATTTTGCACTTGGCTTCAAAATAGTCAATAAAATTGTCCGCTGTTGTTGTCAAGGGGTTAAATGTTTCACATTTAAAGTTTTTTATGATGTTCTGTGATGTTACGTTACTTGTAGTGCTACTACAAGGGGCCATTCCGTTGTTGAATGGTGCCGCTTCCTGTTGTTGTATCAGTAGTTGTAAAAGTTGCGTAAGCTGTGTCTGATGTTGTTTAAGAAATTCTGTAAACTGTTCGGGGTTCATTTTTGTCCTCATCGCCAATTAATGTTATGAATTAAAAAGGTTTTATTAACATTCAAAATTAATGACAATCTAATAATCTCAAAACTAAAATTAAAAACGTCTAAATCTTGCATGGAACTAAAACCCTAGGTTTTAGTTCTACGGCGTTTCATGCTTTGCTAGGTTATGAGGTTACAACAATTCTTCCTTCATTGAAACTCAGACCAACACCAACTAGATAACGACCCAATCTATAAAATTAAATTAATGATATTCATTGTATTTTTTTTATTGTACCCATTTCCCTGAGAGAAATTAGTTCAGGGGTAGATAGTGATACTTTTTGGAAAACATTGGATTCCACGTTTCTTTTTTTTTCACTATCTCCCCTGATTAATTTATAACAGTAGAATCGGGCTAAAATTATTGTTATACATTGTCAAAGAAAATGTAAAAATTTTGCCTATTTACCATCGCACGTTTGGTAGAGATATTCGCAGAAAATCGATTCGATATTGAGTTTTTATTTCTCTTCAAAAACTTTGAAGCCAAATCTCGACCGGGTAGTAGTAAAAGCTGCTGTAACATCTTACCCCTGTAACAACTAACCCCGGTCTCTCCTACATATTTGCATTCATATAACATAATTTAATTAAATTTATTAGACTAAATACAGTAAGTATCTTATTGTTGAATTTTTCCTTTAATGTGAGAAGGATCTGTTATTATATCGACGAAGAATTCATAAAAATGCCGGATATAGAAAAACACTTTTTCTTAGACTTAAATTAATACGATTTTAGTTCAAACTTATTTATAACTATTATTTGTAATTAATTTTTTCGAATTAAAATAATCGGATTTACGCAACTTAATAGTAGAAGTAAAAACATGTAAATCCGGGACTGCTTTTCCGCCATTTTAGTTAGTGCAAAAGACATGCCTACCGGTCCTATTTTTTATATCAAAATAGTTATAATGACTACATACATATTAATTTGAAAACGGAACTTTCCACTTTTTTTTTGTTGATATGAAACCGAAACAAAATCAAGCTAACAAAAATTTCAATACAAATACAAAACTTTACTAAAAAAAATAATAAAATCTGTTAAATTGCTTGTACTATAAAAATAAAATAAAGCTTCATATTTTGACAATTCTATCTAGTGTCATGTGAGCATATCTGTGTTATAATCTGTCAACCTAAATATTTTTTGAAGATTTCAAATTATAGCGTATATAATTTGCTTATCGAAATGAACAAACTTCTGGTAATTTATTTATACATTTAAGTTCTAACAAAATACTTACCCGCCATCATTTTCAGACGTCAAAAAAATTGATTCCAAGAGATCAATCATTTTCTTCGATATCCCACAAATTTCACAAAAATGATCGAGTCGTTAGCCCTGCGATTGGCAAGAGATATAAAAATGATAAATCAGTTAAAGCGAAAATTAGAAAAACTGCTAAGCAAAGCGCTTTAAGTGGTCAGTTTTCTGAAAACAGATTCGATAAAAAGGATTTATTTGAGAACATTCTTGGTAAGAACTACTTTAGGTTATGAAAACTTCTGTATACATTATTTTATGTATCGTCAGTTCATAATTTGAGAAATGTCAAAAAAATACAATAGAGCAAGGAGATGAAAATTAGAACCTCTCAATAGTAATTTTTAGGTTGAATAAAAGTAAAGTATAAAAATAAATAACCTACATGTACGTAAGTCGTAGTAATGGTTCAAAACGATATATATGTATATACAGAGTGTCCTATTAGTGCGTAATTGTTGAATATTTTCGGTTTTTATTATAGACACGTAAAAAAGTTTTAAATAAAAGTTATATGGATTTATAAGATACATATGTTAAAAATATTTTTGAATATACAGGGTGCTGCGTCTTTCCTGGCAAATAAAAATGTATGTTTTAAAAAAACATCCTGTATTTTATTTTATTTTTAGAATAGTTTAGTAATACTATATTTTACCTAAGAATGTTTTTAAAAATTACTACAGTGTTGCCAAGCAATTCATTTTTTTTTAAATTAGAGTATGATGTAGAACCCAAATTAAATTGTCATGTCAGGTAGGTTTACAATGATTTCAATTTTTTTTATTTTTAATATACAGACATATAAGATACGCTAACGAATATTGGTAATAGAACTGGTTCATATTATACAAAGTGTTTTGAAACATGTCTTAAATATGGCTAATTTTAAGTTAATCAACTTTTTCAAATGCAGCACCCTGTGTATTATTTTAGCACAAAATTTATTATTGATTTACTTATTCAGCGAAACCAACCTGTTGGCCAATAACACATATACAGGGTAATATTAGTGCGTAATTGATCGATAGCTGTTTTATTATTGGAAATACGAAAAAAATAATTAATATGAAAGTTATATGAACATGTTTAATAAATATTTTAAATATACAGGGTGGGCCATAAACGAGTAGTTGACTAAACTTATGCATTTTTAAAGCAAAACACCCTGCAGAATATTTGATTGTTTTCACATCATTAAACAATTTTAATAGACTATTTAATCGCTATTTTATATATAGGGTATGTCAAAATGCGGAGTAAGGATTTTCTCAATTTTAAAACGAAATATCCTATATGTTATACCTATGAAGACTAGAGAAGGAGGCGAATCGGTAATGGTCAAATTTCAAATTTCCGTCTTTTTTTTTTATAAAGTTCGCGAAATTGACTGTAGTTGGCATATCGAATAAAAACGGTGTCAATTTTCTATGTAAGTCAATGTCAAGTGTTTTTTTTTTAAAGCTGAAATTAATGAATGAGGTAATACCATGTACATTCCCAAATCTCCCTTTATATTTGTATTACAACAATAAAAAATCTGTTAACTGTGTTTTCTTTTGCTCTTAAAACTATACAGGGTGTTAAAAAAAGTGTCACAAAATGAAATGGTGAATAGTATGACCCAAAATAAGCAGAAAAGTCTTAATAAATATATGACCGCAAATTAACGGTTTCGGAGATACGGACCATTTTGTGTTTATAACAATTTTTTATTATTATAAAAAAACAATGATATTTATAAACATTCAATAACAACATAGAGTTAAATGAGATGTTCAAATACTGACGTAGCGCTTCCCTCGCATTGCCATTTGCACGACCGTACATAAAATGCATGTCAGCTAATTCAATATTAGTGTAAACAGGCATAACGAAAATTTATAAAATTATTCACCCACAACAAAATAATAACTGCAAATAGTATGTATGAAAAAACATCGGTAGACTCCGATAAGAAAAGCAAGTTTTTGAGAATGAAAAAAGATAATCAAAAAATGATACAAAACACAAAACACTCCGTATCTCTGAAACCATTCATTTGCGGACATATGTTTATTAAGATTTTTCTGCATATTTTGGCCCATACTTCCCCCCGTTTTATTTTGTGACACTTTTTTTTAACACCCTGTATATAGGTACAATTCAGAAAAAAATTTGCCACAAAATTGTACTTATCAAATTTTAGCGTTTAACAAACCTTTTCGAATTTGGCCATACCTACCTAATTTGTATTTTATATACATAAAATTAAATAATTTATCAATTAAAACATGCAAGACTTTAGAAATAAATACAACAGTATGTTCTGTGCTTTATTTAGCTATAAACAAGTTTATTTTTATTATTTTGATAAAATTATCTATAACTCCCATCAGAAGCCATGTATTTTGAACACCGTATGCAGTACTAGCGCACATGTGTTTTTTTTTCTCCTGGGCTCGTCTGACTATGTATCTCCGAATAACACTGAAGCCTATGGATTTATTGGGTTTTACCCCATGTTAGTTCATAGCACCCACTCTGTCACCTTTGTACCTTGTACAAGTTTATACAGATCCTTGGGTGAGCGGGTTCTATACGTTGTTGGATCAACCTGAGGTTGTCCAAAAAGAGCCTGTCTTTTGCGATCTAGAGCTTCGCATTCGCACAGTATGTGTTTGGCCGTTTCTGGTTTCTTGTGACATAGTCGGCACATGAGTTCCCCATTGTACATGCCAATTTTGTTCAAGTGTCCCTTTACTGGGGCGTGCCCAGTCATGAACCCTGTTATCACTTTCAACTGGTTCCTATTCATTGAGAGTAGTTCTCCAGTTCGTTTGAGACATGGTCTGTCTATGAAGGCTTTTCCATGTGCCTGTTTTGGGGTGTTTCCCCAATAGTTGATATGTTGTTTCCGATTCGTTTATGAAACCCTGGACTGTACTTTTTGGTACTCCTGGGTTTGTGTCTGATTCCGGTGTTTCTTCTGACCCTCTTTTTGTAAGTTCGTCAGCCTTTTCGTTACCTTCGATCCCAAAATAGTTTTACTCTATTTCGGTCTGCCAGTGTTCTTAGTTCTTTGATGCATTCCCATATCAGCCTCGACGTAACTTTCTGACTCGATATGGCCTTAAGTGCCGCTTGGCTGTCTGACATTATTTGAATATGCTGATTTTCGACAGCTCTTTCATCGTTTGTTTTTGCACATTGCAAAATTGCTTATACCTCGGCCTGAAATACCGAGGAATGTATTCCTATAGTATAGCTATGGTTAGTATCAGGGTTTTTGGAGAATACTCCTACCTCAGTGCCTTCCGCAGTCTTAGAGGGTTTGTTCCTGTCGTTGGGCATTGGTGATCTTTGCTCTTTCCTGTATTAAAACCTCAAATGGAGTATTAAAAGAGTACCTCTTGGTTATGTGGTCTGACCTCATGTCTAGCACTTCTCCTGTCATTAACCTTGAGATACTCATGTGACCTGGCCTAATGTCAAGATTTCTCAGTTTATTCCCTAATCTGTAAGCACCTAATCTTGCCTCCCCGTATATCACATAGTGAAGAGGTGGGAGTCCTATTAGTGCTTCCATTACAGCAGTGGGGGTTGTTTTCATTGCCCCCGTTATTCTGAGGCAGGCAAGTCTTTGTACCTTGCTTAGCCTCGTTATTGCTTTCCTTTCCTGTGTCTTTGGCCACCACACCAAAGCTGCCCATGTGGTTAATTATAAAAGCTCAATTAGCCTGCGTTTTCTGTGACCGTATTTTTATTGTCGATTGGCCTCCTTATCTCTAGTCTTCATAGTTATACCATTAATTAATTAATACAGGGTATTTCATTTAAAAAATTGAGAAAATCGTATCCTCACGTTTTGACACACCCTATGTACAACATAGTTAATATGTAAAGTTAATTAAAGTTTGGATCGTAAGAAATAAGCGAGATATAGAAGAAATTGATCAGCATCAACCCTAAAATTAAGAAAAACTTGTTCTTGTTTACTAAATTCATTTCCTTATTATTTTTTTTATTATATATATTTTTTTATTCTAAAATATTTATCATCTGCTATATTTTCATCAAATTTTATATTGTTTTTGCATTTTTTTTTGATTGCGTGTTTTCTTATTTCATAGTTGAACTTATAGATACCTATGCTTGAATTAATTGATGCTTTAGATAATAGTCAAACAATAGAGACAAGAATATTTAATACTTTCAATAATTATTTTCAAGAGAGGTCAGATGGCGATGGGCATGGTCTTGGTATTATCCATTTTAATATTAGAAGTTTAAGAAAGCACTAACATTAACTTTTCAAATGGCTAATGAGGCTTTGGACATAATAGTCCTTTCTGAGACAGGGATAATCGATTCGTTAAGCAATTTTTTAATACCTGATTTTAGACATATCAGCAATTAAAAAATGTGATGGGGTAATGATATATAAGGAAAAGGGTTGTACCTTGGGACGGTTTTACCTTGGGACAGTTGCTCTCAAAATTCAACCACTCTAGAAGTAACACTCAGAACTACATATTATGTTACCAACACTATCCCTTGTGTTACCCACCAATACCATTCTATTTCAGTTATTGTTCCAAGGTCAAATGTAAGATTTATCGTTTTCGCGCCCTAAAAGTAAAATTTTGCGGCAACTCATAGCTCGTATATAAACAAGGTAAGCATAATTATTTACTGTGCCCTATATAGTACTGTCAGAATGTTGTTTAAGCAAGCAGTCTATGCAAGAAAATATTAAAAAGTAATTTAGTTTTTTAAGGTTAAGAAATTAATTTTGTCAATTGTGTTAGGTGGCACCTTAGGACACTTTGCGGGTTTTACCTTGGGACGTGTCCCAAGATACAACCTTTAGACAAGATAAATTTTTTAACATTAAAAAATAAATATTTTTTTTAATAAATTGCAATTTCACCACTGTTAGAGATGGGCAGAAGTGCCACAGTAGGGAAGAGGACAAAACTAGTTGCAGAAAATGTTAAGGCAGCTGTTAATGATGTTATCACAAACAGTCTGTGCGAGAGGTGGCGAAGTAGTATAGCAAGCGGGAACCTGGGACCGATGGTAACATGTCCATCCAGTTCTACAAGATACCATCCACTTCTAGTCAAAGAAGTGACGATGCAGCCGAAGAATCGCCGAAGAATCGTCAATGACCAGAAGGGGTAGTAGTAGAGGAGTGTTCTTCAAGATACCATCCACTTCTAGTCAAAGAA